ACGACTTCTTCATTAATTTCTGGAATGTCTTCGAGGATGACTGGATTGGATCCTCAGGGACAATATTTGCACCGGCAGGATTGGCATTCAGATCAATCTAAGGCTTAATAGGAACAATAGTTTTTTCAGTAGGAACAAGGGCATCAAGGGCATCCTTGGAACCACTTGAAAACTATTTACTTAGAAGCTCAACCTTGGTTTCTTTAAGTGTAGTTTCAAGGGAGTCAACACGAGCCAGCAAGATGGTGTGATATGAATCCACTTTTTAGTTAAGAGCCTGCAATAACTCAAACAATTTGGACTATCAAGCATTGGATTATACAGGAGGTACTTGAGAGGATGAAGGTACATCCACAACAAGGACAGCGGGCTTGTGAGTCTTAGAAAAGATACTTCTAATCTTAAGAAAATGGTCATTGGACTGTTTTGGAGCCCCATAAGAGTCAACAAACCTTGTAATTCCAGATAAGGGAAAGGCAGAATGAAAGATTTCCCTTTGGACTCACCAGCGGTTTTGATCGATTTGTAAATAACAAATGCAAGGTCTATTTTCTTTTCTTGCACAATGTTGTACAACAATTGTATTTTACTAAGCCTAATAGAAGAGTAATGCCTAGAGGGTGACCAGTTTGTGATGGTGGTTTTGAAAAGGGTCTTGTACAGAGTTATGAGCACATTGACCGAAAGAAAATCACTGTTAGGTCAAATAGTCACAACTCCACCACTAAGGTCACTAGCCATAAACCTACACTCCTTTACAAGGACATATAGGTCATCTTTGTTCTTCACAACAGGGAGCTTCAACAATTTTCTAATTACTCCAAGGGTAAAATCCATCCAAATACCCTTTACCCAGACCTGGTTTTGTGGTACAAGATTTGGTCTAGGTCTTTCCTAAAATGTGCATAAAATTCTTGCACAAAACCCTGACAAGGTGGCACAGGTTTCACCACTATTGTTTTCCAGTTTCGGCCAACCATAATTTTGGCAATTTTAGGGAACTTAGAGAGTTTGACTTTAGACTCACAGACAATGGCCTAAAAACAATAGAGTTTTTAAACCTAGACTCGGTAAAAGGAGAAACAAAAAATTTTCGTTTACCTAAAACCTCAGATTGAGGTGGCATTTTCACCTTCCTTTTTCCCTTGGCAATCTTTGTTGTTTCTTCTTCTTTGCTTGGGTTTCAGCAGAGGACCTTTTCGTGTGCTTTAGTTTCTTGATGAGAGGCTGATCATCAGATATAGTGGATCTGGAAGATGAATATTTTGACACCGATTTTGAAGCAGAGGGGGTGTCTTCACTTGAAGCAGAAGAGTGCGCACTTTCTTGGGCATGTGAGGACTGCCTTGATCTTGTTCTCTTTTTGGCTTCAGCAGCCTTCCTAATGTCGTCAACGAATCCTTGTTGATGTTCCATTGAATCTTGAAAAAGGTTGTTAGGAGAGAATATTGAGAGAAAAGAATTAATAAAAAAAACATAGACTTTGGATATGACAACTGAAAAGAACAAAAGAGTGACTTTAAAAAAGAAAAAAGTTAACGACCCTAGAAAAACACGATTTTTTATTCACTGATGACAGTGTGAGCACATCAAACAATCATGTGCGCACAACAAACACAAATTAAAGAAAGTCACTCATGTGATAACATAAGTGTACAAGGTGCACACATGGAACCATACACAGAGCTCAACAGAAGAAGAGATACTTATGAGAGAAATCAAAGATAGAAAACTGCAAATATGTGCACACAAGAACTCTCAAAGTGGTGACATCGGATAAAGGCAAAAGACAAGACACACACACACACACACAAAAAAAAAAAAAAAAAAAAAATAGGAAAAGGAAATTACCATGAGATCAATTTCATAAACAAAATTTTACAGAAGCAAGTATTGTCAATCAGCGTGACGTAAGAGAAAAAATCACCAATCTTGGGGATGCTAAATGAATGTTCTCTATCAAGTCACTTTCACATACCAAATAGTTATTTCTTTCGTCAAACAATGAGCAAGAATGCATATATTCTTTGTCATAATTGTGTGCAGTGTCCTCAAAGGGAAGCATGAATCATTGGTCAATTAAACATCTTTTGACTCCTCTTTCCCTCATGCCCTTTTTACTATTCAATTTAACTAAATTCTTTTTTATTTCTTTTTCAATGGATATTGTAAACATTAAACATAACAAAATCTCTCAATCAGCAACCAAGTGTAGATTTCACACTTGCAAAGAGGTAGCCCTCTAAATGGTAGATCTTCCAAGGACATAAGGATCTCTACATCCAAGAGGATTACTCACTTATGACTTTCACACTACAAGCAAGGTAGCTCTATCACTTGGTGACAAAGTTGACAGGCTATTCGCAAGTCTACGAAATCGCGTAAGTAATAAAGCTCGAGTAAACGAGTGTCAAATCCCAAGGGAACTACCTACCAAGTACCAAACTAGTCTATTTTGTAACTATTTGATGAAACATAATTTTAAGAATGAATTTAATGAAAAAGAAAACAAACTAAAAACTAAACAAAAGCAGATTTTATGAATAATTTGGTAAACAGATCAATATGACTAAACCTAGGGCACAGATTTCACACCAATTTAATCATATGCATTGACAATTATTGCTAACCTAATTAAGCTTATTCTAAAGGCCAAACTCCCTGATATTTCACCAACTTTCTCTCAAACAATTAGTGAATTAACCCTTAAGCAACAACCCAAAATATCTCTAAGTTGGATTTAAGAGCTAAGAGATCATTACGTTCTGTGGAATTTACCAAAGCCTCATAAATCGCAGTAACATATCTCTAGTGTTCGCTCAATCTATGGTTTTATTACTTTAGACAAATCAGGTTTCATCTCTTGATCTCAACCCAACCCATGATATCATTCAACCCTCGGATCCTTAAGAATTGAACGCATTTCACAAAATAATAAAACTTAGAATTAACAACAATAAAGTCAACACATATTCATAAATTGGGCTATATCTTTAGCCCTAGAAAAGGGATTTAGTTCATAATTGCAGTAATAACAAAAGCCATTGCATTCAATAACATGAGTTCAAGAAAGACAAATATAAACACTTCTCTAATTGGTGAACGAGAACTTCAAGAATTCCGTTCTCCAAAATAGTAGCCATCCTTTCTCCTTCTCTAAAAACTCTCTCAAAACTACTTAAAGAACCTTATTTATAGTCCTAGGGTTTTGATCTTTCTTAGGAAAAAGTTAAATGCCTCAACCCATTCAGATTCAGACTAGGATAATGCATTAACCTAACAGGCCCGTGACCCATCACCATGGCGGTAAGAACGGCACTATAGTGATCGTTCTTTCTATCCAATGAGTCTGTGATCTTCAAAATTTGGTAAAGTTATCAACATAAACATTGTAGCTCTCTGAATAATATTTCCAACGCCACTAGAATCGTCGAATTCTGATTTCTACAGCTCAAGTTATGACAGAAACATCGAAGCATGCTCATCTTGAAGGATTTCCAAATTTTACGTTGTATCTTTGACGTGTCACAACTTTCTTGTTTTAACTCCGATTCTTGTACCGTTTGTTCCTACGCGTCATGAATTCCATTGACATCATTCTTTTTCCTTCAAATATCTATTTGAACCTGAAAATACTCAAAATACACCCATGATCTTGTAAAAGGTATTTATGAAAGAATTAATTCAAATTCCACAATTTAAACACATTTTTCCATAAATAATCCAATTAAATCACTAACAAAATATAAACTTTCAAGCTCTTATCACAACCCCCAACCAGCTTTTTGCTAGTCCCTAGCAAACTAAGCGATAAAATAAGTCTCTAAGCTTGAAAATAAAACAACCAATTAAAAACCTATATCTAAACTATCCTAAATCACTTTCGTAGATTGACACGATTGCATTTAGCATATGCAACAAGCCTTTAAACCCCTAGGTGGCCCTAGTTGGACGAGTTGTAGTCTCGTGAGGGTTTCCAACGATGATACCCACAAACATCCACACTAAACTTATCCTAAACTCCAAAAATAAAAATAAACATAAACATAAAAAGAACAAAAACTAACAAAAATTCTTGGATCAATTCATAGAGGTGCCTCAATAATAGCATATACACAAGACAAATAGAATAATTAAAAATCACCTAAACTCATAGACAATGCAAACATCAATTCCATTTTCGTTATCGACCCTAGAACATCCATGCAACCACAAACCATTAGTCTACAAACTAGGATGGTGTTATGCATAACATTCATGAACAAAATTTTGATCTCAGTATTTGGGTTATGAATTATATGTGAATCATGGAATCAAACTCCATAGGCTCACTTTTCAAACCACTCTCCACTAATGTAGAATTTCACATTACCTTGGATCAATAGGTCTTTGTAAAGGTTGTAACTTTAGGCTAGGGTATGAGTTCATGAAGGAACGAAAGGAGAAATTAACAAAAATCAAATTAAGAGACTTAATTTTCATTCATTCTTATTACTAACATACAAAACACTTCCCTTTTTTACTCAGTAGCTTCCCAACCTTTATCGAGCTCTTTCCTTTTGACAATAATATCAACCCATTTGCATAATTCTCAATCTTCACAATGCTCTTCAATGCCCACTTTTCTTTCCTTTTTGATTTTTTTTTCTTTTTTTAAGATACTTATAATAAGAAGAAAGTAGAAACACGCACACAGCCCCACTAATCTTACAAGCACTCCACAACCCCCAACCAATTTCTTCGCATAAACCTGGTTGTGGCAAAACTACCACTTCCAAATTCAGTGAAAGGCTATCAGAAGTTTCCTTGGGCATGCGGGTTTTTATAGGAGATTCATACATGATTTCTCTAAAATCTCTAAACCTCTATGTGATTTATTAGCTAAGGATGTTCCTTTTAATTTTAGTCAAGAGTGTTTAGATGCATTTAAGTGTTTAAAAGAAAAATTAATCTCTGCTCCTATTATTGTTGCGCCCGATTGGGAACTACCTTTTGAACTCATGTGTGATGCAAGTGATTACGCTTTAGGGGCTGTTTTAGGACAGCGAAAATGTAAGGTTTTGCATGTGATTTATTATGCCAACAAGACTTTAACGGGACCATAGTTAAATTATGCCACTACTGAAAAAGGATTTTTAGCAATAGTATTCTTTATTGATAAATTTCGTTCTTATTTGCTAGGTACCAAGGTTATTGTATACACTGACCATGCTGCATTGAAGTACCTCCTAGTAAAATGGGATTCCAAGCCAAGATTATTTCGATGGGTATTGCTCTTACAGGAATTTGACTTGGAAATTAAGGACAAGAAAGGAACGGAAAATCAAGTAGTTGATCATTTATCCCGATTAGAGTCCAATGAAGAAGTTCGAGAGGAAGAAAAGTCAATCAATGAATACTTCCCAGAAGGGTCGTGGTTTGCAGATATTGCTAACTATTTGGCGCATAAAGTATTGCCTCCTGGAATGAACTCCCAAAGACGAAAATTTTTTTTTGCAGATTTAAAGTACTACTTTTGGGAGGATCCATTTTTGTACAAGCATTGTGCCGATCAAATGATAAAAAGATTTATGCCAGAGGAAGAGATGATGAATATTTTTCGTCATTGTCATTCAATGGAAGTTGGTGGTCATTTTGGTTCGACAAAGACCGCCGCTAAATTTCTTCAATCAGGATTTTTCTGGCCAACTCTTTTTAAAGATGCTTTTCATTTTGTTATGAGATGTGATGAGTGTCAACGGGTTGGGAACATATCTAGGAGAAATGCCATGCCTTTAAATAATATCCTAGAAGTAGAATTGTTTGACGTGTGGGGAATAGATTTTATGGGACCGTTTCCTTCCTTGTTTTCTAATCGTTTTATTTTGGTTGCTGTAGATTATGTTTCGAAGTGGGTGGAAGCTATTGCGTTGCCAACAAAGGATGCTCGCGTAGTTGTCAAGTTCATGAAGAAGAATATCTTCTCAAGGTTTGGCACACCGAGGGCCATTATCAGTGATGGTGGTTCTCACTTTTGCAATCGTCAATTAGCAACATTGTTAAGCAAGTATGGGTTTACACATCGAGTTGCTACCCCATATCGCCCTCAAACCAGTGGCCAAGTAGAAGTATCTGATAATCATATTTTACATTGTGATTTTGCATTGAATTTTGATAGGATTTAGGATACTTTTCATTCAATTTGGCCATAATTGCTACCTAATTGTCTTTGCAGGCCTAAACGATGATTTAGCATAAATGACAATTTTGAGCATAAATTATGTAACTTGAGCTTGGAAAGTCGGAATGACCTGAATTTAGAAGCTTTGGAAATCTAAGAAGAAGAGCTACAACTTTCATGTTTCAGGTTTTTCCTAATTCTGATTGGACAAGGGTGGAAACTTGGCTTGAAGTCGTGAAAAGTACACTGGGAACTGAAGAAAAATGTCTTTGGACGTGCTTCAGTATTTCTGCCATAACTTGAGCTATAGACCTCAGATTATGCTTATTCCTAAACTACCAAAAATATAATTTAAAGGGCTACAATTCATATGTTTAACACTTTTCCAGATTCAGACTCTATCATGCTCATATTTGGCCCGAAAGTCTTCGCCGTGGCGAATACAAAGCTTCGCCGCGGCGAAACCTACATCAGATGTAAAAATAAAATGACGCATTTTGGCTTTCTAAGGCTTGATCCTTAAGTGAGAGAGGTATAAATTAGAGCAAAAAGGAAGAGAAAAGGGGCTTGGTTCGTCATTTGGAAGGCAGCTCTTGAAAGAAGAAGATTAATAAAGATTTGGGCTTCAAATTAGAGAAGATTTCTCCATCTTTTGCTTGTTTTTCAATGATGAATCTTGATTCAGTTTGTTTTTGTTATTTTAATTCGTTTTTGAGTATGAACTAAGTTTTTTAGCTAGGGTTTGATGTAATCTTGATACAATGATTCAAATTTATATGAATTGATTTACTTTGAGTTTTAATTTCGTGATTGAGTGTTTATCTCTTTGCTTAATGACTTTTGGATGCTTGATCACCATTCAAATGTGTGTTGTTCATAATAAGACTGAGAAGTGATTTGTGATTGTGCCTCTTGGGATAAATACCGTAGATTAAGCAAACGCTAGAGATAGGTTTAGCGATCTATGAAATCTAGATAGAATTCCATAAAGCTTAAAAGACTTTGAACTATTAATCTTCAATTTGTTGGGTACGGAAGCTTAATAAGGATAAGTAAGGAAATATAGCATGAGAAGGTATGTTTTACAACTTAAGGAATTCGATTTTCAATCAAGGAATTAGAACTTGGGTAATAGATTCTATGATTTGGGTTAGCGTATCTAGGTGAAATCAACACCCTAGCATTTTTTAGCATTGTTTAATTAGTTAAGTTGTTGGGTTTTGCTTTAATATCATTATCATTCATTTATATTTTGTTAATTTGTATTTAGTTGTAAAATTTCCATCAATGCAATTTAATGTTTCTTCAATTAGGACTTAAACTAGGGAAATCGGTACTTAGTAACACTATCCTCGTGGGAACGATACTCTACTCACCACTCTATTACTTGTGCGACTAGTATACTTGGTATATTTGCATGTTTATGAAATCACGCATCAGTATCCAATATGGAGCTAAAATGAATCTTGGAAAAGACAATAAGCACCTTTCGAAAGGATTTGGCAACCAAGCTTGATGATGCATTATGGGCATATAGGACGACATTCAAAACACCAATAAGAATGTCGCCCTATCGGATGGTTTATAGAAAAGCTTGTCACTTGCCAATAGAGTTAGAACACAGGTCATATTGGGCAGTGAAGTTCCTGAACTTTGATCTACAAGCCGCATGAGCAAAACGATTACTGCAACTCAATGAGATGGAAGAGTTTTGCAATAATGCATATGAGAATGCTCGAATCTACAAAAAGAAAAGACTAAGCAGTGGCACGACAAACATATCGTGAACAAGGAATTCAAGGAGGGTGACAAAGTGCTGTTGTTTAACTCAAGACTATGACTTTTCCCAGGAAAATTGCATTTAAGATGGTCTGGCTCGTTCATAATTCATCACGTGTTTTCTGCATGGGGCGATAGAGCTTCACCACCTGACGAAGGGAACATTCAAAGTCTTCGACCAAAAATTGAAACCCTTAGTCAAGCAATACAAACTCATGGAGAGATCTTAAGACATAAATTCTTTTAGAAAAAAAAGCACAAGGTGGACGACACGAGTCTAGGGTGAAGTTGAAGTGAAGCAGACACGGTAAAGTGAAGTCCACTTCACAAGTGATTCAACATACCACAGGAAATAATAAAAAGAGAAGGGTCTCGCCCAAGTGGCTCCTGAAAGATAACAGAAAAAAACTCAAACAAAGAACGTTCGTTGCATCTAGGATTCAGACTAGCCCACAATCTCAAACCAATTCCTCCTATCAGAGTTAACCCATGTCGCAAACCAATCCTTTTCATCAAACAAAGACCATCAAGAGTTCAGCACTACCAGACTATGGCCTCTACTCAAACAGTGCCGAAGTGCGTACGCCCTCGCATCTTGAGATCAACCATTGCCTTCTTGTCTTCAGTTCGCCTCTATTCCGTTGATCGCGAGGAATGCGATTAAATTGGAATAGAGTTTAGTTGTGACAAGGGTTCTATCCCATCGCTTCAGTCTTTCAGATATATTCATTGACCCCTGAGTATGGGATCAGAGTGAAAAGATCCTTGAACTTGCGACGCATACAGAGTTTCCCATCATAACCTTGCCATTCGAAAATGGACTTTAATCCCCTGAAGTTTTTCTCAAACACCAACACAAATTAAAAGAATACTTGCAATAATAAATATTGGAAATTTGTCCCATGGCATTTATTAGAAAAGATAGAGACACTATTCAATTTGAATAAGTCTAATGGACTTTCTCAAATTTACAAAAGTTTGCAAGTCTAAAGCCTTAGTGAACAGGTCAACAAGTTGAGAGTTTGTGTTAACATGTGTAAGAGTGATCACTTTTTCATCAACTAAGTCTTTATAAAATGATGCCTAATGTCAATGTGTTTGGTTCTAGAGTGTTGAACATGATTTTTAGAAATGTTTATTGCACTAGTGTTATCACAAAAGACAGTTATGCATTCTTGATCAAATCCATAATCACATAGCATTTGTTTTAACCAAAGAACCTGTGTGCAGCAACTCCCTGCAATAATATATTTAGCTTCGATTGTGGAGAGTAGGATTGAATTTTGTTTCTTGCTATACTAGGTGATTAGGTTGTTGCTGAGAAAGAAACATCCTTTAGATGTGTTTTTTTCTATCATTCAAACACCCTACCCAATCAGTATTACTAAAACCCACGAGAGTAGGATTAGAGTCATAAGAAAACCAAAGCCCAAAATCTAATGTTCCAGCAACATATTTCATAATCCTTTTAACAACTTTAAGATGAAGCTCAGTATGATTAGATTGAAACCTTGCACACACAACTACACTAAAGCACAAATAAAGCCTACTTGTTGTCAAATATAACAAACTCCCTATCATGCTTCAAAAAAGCTTGTTATCAACCTTTTGACCTTTTTCATCCTTGGAAAGTTTAAGAGTGGAGCTCATTGGGGTGTTTGCATGCTTGGTAGATTCAAGATTGAATCTTTTGACCATGTTTTTGGCATACTTAGACTAAGAGACAAACATTCCACAATCAATTTATTTGATTTAAAGACCAGGGAACATGCTTAGCTCTCCCACCATACTCATCTCAAATTCATCTTTCATTAGAGAAATAAAATTTTCCAATTGAGTATGTCAGGTGGAACCAAAAACAATATCATCTACATAAATTTGAGCACACAAAAAATCACCTCTTTCATACTTTATGAATAAATTTTTGTTGGCATTACCTCTTGTGAATTTATGATCAAGAAGGAAGGAGGTCAGCTTATCATACCAAGCTCTCGATGCTTGCTTCAAACCGTAGAGTGCTTTCTTGAGTTTGAACACATGATCTGGCTTATTTGGATCTTGAAATCCTACTAATTGTTCAACATGAACTTCTTCCATCAACATTCCGTTCAAAAATGCACTCTTCACGTCAATTTGGTAAAGTTTCAGCTTCATACAGCAGGCAACTCCCAACAGTAATCCTATGGATTCAAGCCTAGTCACAAGTGCAAAAGTTTCATTGAAATCAACTCCTTCGACTTAGGTATACCTTTGGGCAACAAGTCTTGCTTTGTTTCACACAATGTTCCCAAATTCATCCGATTTGTTCTTGAAAATCCACTTTGTTCTAATAACATTAATTCCTTCAGCTTGGGAACCAGTTTCCACACGTCATTTCTCTCAAACTGCTCCAGCTCCTCATGTAAGGCAACAATCCAACAATCGTCTTCAAGAGCATTCTTTGCATTCTTAGGTTCTGAAAGAGAAACATAGCACAGGTTATTAATTTCACTCAATCTTTTACATCTAGTGACCATTACCTTGTCTAACCATTACACACATCATTTCTCTCAAACTGTTCTAGCTCCTCATGTATGGCAACAATCCAACAATCGTCTTCAAGAGCCTTCTTTGCATTCTTAGGTTCTAAAAGAGAAACATAGCACATGTTATTAATTTCACTCAATCTTTTACATCTAGTGACCATTACCTTGTCTGGATTTCCAATCACTATAAATGGTGGATGAGCCTTTTTTATCTAGGAGGGTGGTTCTCTAGTTTTGGGTGTGTTTTGTTGAGTGATTTCATCAGACAGATCAACAAGTAATTCAAGTCCTTGTCTTTTTTAGAAAGATCTTTGTTGAGCTGTAGAGGGGTTCACATCAGATTTTGATGTGGTCACATCTATAGGAGAACTCAAAGTGGGCACATTGTCATGGTCAGTGGTCACATTAGAAGGTGTCACTAAGTCATCAATTTCATCTTCATGGGAAAACTGAGAAATCTTTTGAATTAAAGAAAACAACATTAAATGATTCAATTATACGTTGAGTTCTCATATTGAAAATCCTATATGCCCTACTATTTGAAAAGTATCCGAGAAAGACACCTTTCATCACTTTTGGAATCAAATTTTTCAAGGGGATCTCTATCATTTAACACATAGCACTTGCACCCAAAAACATGAAAATATGACAAATCAGGCTTCTTACCTTTTCGTTACTCATATGAAGTTTGAGAGGTACATTTTCTTAGAAAAACTCTGTTTGCAATGTGACACGTCGTGTTGATTGCCTCGGCCAACAACCTCGTTGGTAATTTTTTGGCATTTAACATAACTCTTGCCATTTCTTGAAGAACTATATTCTTTCTCTCTACAACTCCAATTTGTTGGGGTGTTTTTGAAGCAAAAAACTCATGCCATATACCCTGCAAATCACAAAAACTTGAAAAATTTGTGTTCTCAAACTCT